TTCATGTTGTTCCTCCTATTTTAGCTGACCGCCACTCCCTTTCAGCCCTAGCCTTCACCTCAAAACTTCCAACCGTTCCCTGGATCTTCGTGATTGCCGATGTTCCTCATCATCTGCTTGGACTGTCTAGCTAAGTTCGGCCTGCCTGTTGGTTGCTGACGTTTCCGTCTATCTGTACATGTCCTAATTCCTTTCATTCCCTCTTGCAACCTATGTGTTTTGTATACATATATTGCCCGTTTTTTCCAGGAGCTGTATCGTAAACACCCAAGTATTATCAACCCACACCTTCACAGTGATGACGTTCATTCGTAGCTCAGACCCTCCTCTATTCGCTCGATCTATTTGCAGCCCGTGAAGGTGGGTTATGAACCTAACAACTGAAAAAACAGTCGACCGTCTGAGAGCCCCTGGGCGCACCCTCCTCATATCGTACCCGCTGGGAAAGTGTTTGTGATAGCAGTCTTCAGTCGTCGCTTTACCAGTTCGCTGGTTGCGTCTCCTAAGAAAGGTGGTCTTATGAGTATGTCCTTCTTTTCTGCAGTTGAAGAAGTAGGCCGAAACCGACACCACAAGGCGATTTCATATCACCCCCATCCAAAAGAAGCGGTCGCCCAACCAACATGCCGACCATTGGCGCAGACTGAAAAGTCCGCAATGGCCAATAGGCGCATAACCCTGAAATTATTGATTTTTTTACCTGTTCAAATTTTCTAGTTTGCAATGTTATGGCCCTGAAGATGATTTGCCGAAAAGTATATTTTGCCTAACAAATTAACTTTTCATGTTAGAAAAATGGGAATATTTAACGATCTTAGAGAACCAATTTAATTGTTCATTGCCCGAATCTTGATCGACAGAAATAAGCGGCGGAGAATTAATTTGGTAAAAGATAAAAGCGATAAAACTACACGCTTAAATTCGTGAAAATAATAATATACAACGTTAATGTAATGCAGGGTGCCCTGATAACAGTGACGAGTAGAGTGGGACGGATTCTCTAGTTTCGCTCGTTTTCTATCTAAAATGAGAAAACAATTCAGTCAGAAAAACGGCGAAAAATGACAAGCGTTATAAAAAAACTTCAGGTTTGCACAACCGTACCCGATGTAAGCTTATGCGCGTCAGTGCCATCTGCTCAAGAAGTATGGCTTGGATTTAACTAGCTACAGGGACGCGTAACTTGTGATCCATTTTCCGAAATTTATGAAGTCGTAAAGTGGGGTTTGGACAAGAAGGCCATTTAAAGACAGTCTGCACTTCAAATAGTCAATAACAATCCGAGGAATCCTATCCCATGAAAATCAAGGAAGCTTTACATTTTTTCAGGACATCCCCTCATGAGAGTTATAACCAAAGCGGCACATGGAGTCTGGACTAAGATGTACAAAAGAAGTTTACCGAGGTCAATAATCAACATTTTCCGAATTTAAGAGAGCAAAAAATCGTTATTGGGTCCTTCTCGGTAGACTAGTAAAAAGGCAGATGATGCAAGCCAACGATTCGAGAGCAAAATAAGTAAAGAGAAGGGTACCTGAATGTAATCGCTGGACATTATTCTTTATGTTTGAATTTCGGGTAAAGATGCGACCATACATTTTACACGAAAACCTTCGCAGTTCTGAAACCGAAATAATAAAAAGATTACAAGCTATCATAACACGGAAACATCTATCTCGGTTTGCCTCAACCCGACTGGTAAAACTCCATGCGACACTGGGAGCAAAATACAAATCCAGAAGTTACAACTCTTTCATTACTTAACGCGAGCTTCTGGCAAAATATGTTTGTGTTCATTAAAAGGAGCGAATCCACAAATACATGCCGCTCACTTCCTCGTTCTAAGGGTGGGCTAGAAGCTTTCACCAGCCAGAAAGTGCGTCTGACTCTCAATCCTGATGGGGGCAGGCATGTTCGGACAAATTCCCAGAGGCAACCTCACTCGCTCTCCTTCTCTGTCCTCTACAATGTGCCAGTCAATTGCGTGTCACAATAAAACATTGACAAACAACGAGCATAAAAACAGACGAAGGAGAATTCGTAGAATTAAAAAAGAGGCGTACTTTTGTGCAGTGTTGATGTGCCTATTCAGGTCTCCATTCTATTGGAAAGAATGACCACACTTATCGCAAGGACAGTGCCACTGATCTGAAACAAAAAAATAACAATACATTAAGAGAGTTAAGGGTACCAGGGACTGAGTTTACTTGCTCTCAGGCTTCTTTTACGTTCGAGGATAATGAAACTTGCTACTCTAAAAGAAACAAAGCCACAGTAATAGCGAAAGACCACGCTAGCGCGCATCCTGAATGCGCTCTGTGTAAAGTCATATTCCGAAAGTTTACTTTTCTAAATCTGCCACTTGACCATATTCGCGTATTTCTGATTGGGACCCTCACTCACAAAATAGGAAGGTCGAGGTCTAGTGGGTGGTTCATAAGCGGTAAGCTGACTATACTATTTTTTGCAAGGATTTGTTATCAATATCAATAGTAATAAATTAAGATAGTTTGCATTATCGGCTAAACGGGATAGGTAAACGGGCAGCGACACATACGGCGGTCTGGATTATATCCTTAAATGATAACTCCATGTGGCTGTCGCAGAAGTCAATGGGTGGCAGGCAAAGGGCTCGTTTTCATTGCCCTCAATTATTGTAATCACGAGTGAAGGCAGGTAAAGATTACAAGGGAAAGGATGAACAGTGCCGCAAATGGAACAAAACATGCATGCAAATGAATTTATCTGACGCGGAAGAGGCGCACTTTTGTGGAACCTGTCGATATGCCTGTTCAAGTGATGCTTCCGCGAAAACCAAGCACCGCAGGTCTCACACTTGAACTCGCGTAAGCCTGTAAAAGGAAATAATTAAAAAAAGAAGATATTAATTCGTTTATACCGGAGTGAGCTTGGCCTAACCGATTTTACACCACCCTCTAAAACTCAACGAAAATCGTAGTCTGAAGTAAGGGCAATTGACGAAGGGCGGATTTACAAAGGAAGTGGGTGCGTACTAAACAACCTCAAGTGTTGGACAACATCTAGAGCGCAGGGTCGGCAAATAATGATGGCACCTCAAACAAATCAACGCTTTACTCCGTGCGCTGAAAGCCACATCCGGGGGCTGTCCGTGAAACGCTCGGGGATCGATACTGTACTTGAGCGATATGCAAGTATAGGTCGGCGAGGATCGAACCGGCAATCCAGCAGTTCATGAAAACAATATGCCTACTTATTTTATTTACGTAGGTTTGTTTGCCTGAGGTGAGTTCAACACGAGAGCTAGGTAAAGGGTCGAGTTTTTAATTACAGAATCTCAATTGGTGGAGTAACACATTAAGACACTAAAAATGCTGGAAGTTATGCTGAATTTAAAGGACGATATTAAATAAAGTTATCCATTAGTGATAATAGGTAAACAAAATTTTGACTTAAGAAAAGTTCTTTTTACATAAATAAAGTTAAGTTCTCAACATAAGAAATATTCGAATTTATAGCAATTTTTACGTCTCCGAAACTTGGGGATTATCTGGAAAATTTATTTTTCTTACTTCTTTGTACTTCTTGCACTTCTCTTAAGTATTTTATATGCCAAATGCTGCTCATTATTATTTCCAAGTTTTCCTAAGTGCGCTCAGGCTGGTTTTGCATGCAGGACTCGCCATACTCTTGTGTTAAGCTGACCAACCGCATAACATCTCACCCAAACTCGCCTATTCTAAAAGGCTGTTAAAACAAACAATTGTAAAAATGAATTGTGCTTAAAAGAGCGCAGTTTTATTCTTCCTCAGTAAAGTTTATATTTAAAAAAAACAGGAAAGCGTGGAAACTGTACTCCATATAACAGACAGCACAAGTGGAGTGCCGAGCCCGAACCCCCTTAACTGCTTCGTTCAGGACCGTCCAAACACGCGTACCTGGTTTTTAGATAGTTAG